CTTCTGATAGGGTGATGATGATTCATGGCAATAGGTTTGTATTTTGCCTTATTTTGTTTTTTAAGTTCCTTGTGTTGTAAATGTGATAGACAACTGTGGGGCTTGTACTTGACCTTCAATGTTATATAGTTTTGCCCTCACTTTGAAACCACTAATCCAACACCTACTACCCACAAAAAATTCAAAATTACTTTCACTTGATGCACATGCAGGTTTTTAATCACTGGAAAGTTTTTGAGGCTTTCTTGAGGTAAAATAAAGCTAAAACACACCTGTTTCACCTTACATACATATTCAAATTAAAGGTACACTTAGAATAGGACTTCATTCATAACCCAGAGACTTTATGGAGTGTCAAAAAGCTTGTGCAAAAATGGAAGTAAAATACCACATATTCTGCAAACATAAGTCTCTATAACCTTAAGACCAAAAGAATTAGATAGTACCGGGCTATCACTACCAAGTGGATCACATTAGAAGGTCCTGGATAGAATAGGAGAAAATTCAGACTCATAAGAGACTAGGATTACTGGTAGCATAGAGACTGATGGAACCAAGACTATGGTCCTTAGTCACCCTACTCCCATGTTAGACTAACCAACCATTTATGATCAAAAGGACAGCATTTACCCAAGGACAAAGTTCAGATGGTTAGAAAAGGAGTAAAACAAGGAAATAGTGAGGAATTAAGAAAATGGTACATGAAAGGAATTCCAGTGGATGACTTGGAACAAAATATGTATGAATTGTTGAACATAAAATTAATTAACCGCTCTGTAAACTTTCATATAATTCAAAATAAATTTTTTAAATAGATTTTTTCCCTACAAACTTTTTGAAGGTCGCTGATATATTACATTTCTTTAAGGATCCAAAGGACCAATATGGTAATTTCAAGATCATGTAAGTTTTACTGTATTGAAAATTTAACCCAACTATCTCTTTATTCTTTGGAAGACCTCTATATAATAAAAAGCCATGAACTATAATTCGTACAAAGAATTCTTACAAGAATATTAAAATATTAAAAGGTACAATGAACCTATAGAATACTAAGGACTAAATATACTCTAAGCATATTTGAGATTAAATATACTTAAAACACTTTGAGAATCTGCATATTAAAAAAAAACCATATCCAGTCCCCCACCTTTTTTTTGTTGTTTCAAGTTTGGGGACCAGTAGATCAAACTGACTCACGGCAACCCTAGAGGACAAAGTTGAACTGCTGCTGCTGGTTTCTATGAAGGTAAAACTTTACAAAGTAGAAAGTCTATTTTTTTCCTATGGAGCAGCTAGTGGTTTTGAACTGTTGACTCTGGGGTTAGCAGTCCAATTTGTAACCCATAACTCGTTCTCAAGTATGGACACATTCAGAAAATTGTTCTCAATCTGCAGAAATACTTTTTCTGTGGTTCTTGGATTAAGTGCAAGATACTGAGGCTCCACTGTGAGACACCTCTAAAGTGGAATGAACTAGTTTAACCCGAGTTTGCCTTTCCATCCCAAATATACTGACACAGAACTTACAGTTTAACAAGACACAGGTTATACTTAAGAATCACTCTGGATTCTATGAAAAATCACTTGGGGGTGTTGTTAAAATGTGGATTCTGATTTATCTGGGGTGAAAAGGCAAATTCTCAGCAGGCAGTCAGACCCTTCAAAGTTCTGCTCCACAAAAGGAGTTTACCACCACCAACCAACCAGTCGTTTGTTGTGATTTGAATGAAGTTTTCAGAGAAAACTGATTTTCCATTCAACAATTCAAACACATGGTTTGTAACAAAGACCCTTGGTGATTCTCGTTCACACCAAAAGGAAAATTACAGCTTTTAATGTTTATTGAGCAAGTCCAACCTTGTACTAGATTAAATTGCAACAAAAAAAGTCTACAGCAATAAAAATTTTTATCAGTTTGTTTAGAAAGGGAACTCTCTTTCAAGACAAATAGTTACTGGGCTCACATTGTTTCTAATAACCAATCTACTTTCAAACAAAACAATGGGGCAGTATGTAATAAAATCTATTCATGACTCACTGAAATATAAAGATAACAGCATGTAAGGGCAATGATAATTATGTCAAAAACAAATTACTTAGAAAAATTAGGCTACTACATAGAACAATCAAATATTAAACGAGGTTCCCAGTAACCAAAGCAAAATAGATACAATGAATTAAATGTGATTAAAGGTTGTATGACACTTTTTCTGAACATAATTGATGCCTTCAACAAGTGCTTATTAAAGGTATAGAGTTGTTTCATCATCATTTGTATCCAATTGTAAGTATAGTATATACTTTTGCTCCTGTTAGCTGAGGTAAGCTAGGAATTAGAAGAATGTATCACCGAAGGATTTAAAGATAAATCCCAGTCAAAATGAAAAACTTTCAACTATCTGGAGCCTCAATTAAGTAGAAAGTGACTCTTACTGAGCCTGTAAGACAAGAGTAAAACTGCTCCATAGGCTGTGGTCTTCAGCTAGCAAAGAAGACTGATTGGCAATTATAAGAGGCAAAGCTAATGTTAATCCATAGGTTGTTGTGAAGACATTTTGTGTAATAGAAATTGCACAGCACACTAGCTCTTAGTTTATTTCCTTCTCCCACTCTAAGCACAACACAATGTCTTCTGCAATGTACTTCCACTTATATTATGACTTTATGATACAAAATTAATCTTTCAGAGCAGAAGAATGTATCTAGGAAGTTAAACACTTCACAGCCGCCCGTGAAAAAGAGGTATGAGTAGTACTGAAAGTATGAGACATCGGCAATCTTAAATCTTGGACCTTCAGATAAGAGCCCTCAACACAGGGAATCCAGGATGGATACACCCCTCAGGGCCAACAGTGAGAGTACAGACACCAGGAGAATTAGGGCAGGGTGGGAGGAGAAAGGAGGAATCGATCACAAGGATCAACCTATAGCCCCCTCCTCCCAGGGGGACGAACAGAAAAGTGGGTGAGGGGTGCTGGAAGATGTAAGATATGAAAATAATCTAGAATTTATCAAGGGTTCATGAGGGAGGGAGGGGGAAGAAAAGGGGAGCTGATATCAGGGGCTCAAGTGGGAAGAGAATGCTTTGAAAATGATGATGGCAGCATATATGCAAATGTGCTTGACACAATGGATGAATGTATGGAGTGTGATAAGAGATATAAGAGACCCCAGGAAAAGTAATTTAAAAAATTAGATAATACCTGACCAAAACCAAATAAATAAATAAATAAACTTGTGATTTAAGATATTAAAAAAAAATCTTGGACCTTTAGATTAGCAACAGATCAGTAAGTACTATGAAATGTTTCATAATCCTAACGTCTCTCTAGAAATCAAACTGTAAAAATTAACACTAACAAAATGAGTATAAAACATTTTTTCATGCACGAAACAGAAAAGCAAAGAGTAAGTTTCCATTTTTAAACAATTTGAAGAGGCTTTCCCTTCTGCAAATCAGGAAGACTATACGTAGTTGTGAGGTCATTGGCCTTGAAGATGCAGATTAGTTAGTTTCGATAAAATGAGATGGAGTGAGGAGGGCCTAGGACTTATGTTACTATTATTTTTAATTGAGGATAATCAATCAAGTGAAATATAGCAAACAGGATTAAACTATCCCAAGCATGCCAAGCTCTGGTGACATAGTGGTTACAGGTTGGGCTGCTCCAAGGGAGAAACACTGGGCTTTCTACTCCTGGAGAGTTACAGTCTCAGAAACCCACAGGGAAGTCACTATGAGTCAGCACTGACTCAATGGTAGTGAGGTTGGTTTTTTTGGTAAGCACGCCAGGCAGATAAAGCTCTGAACGCTACAAAATAATTTTGGTGGAAGTATAGGAGCAATCAATAACTCAAGTTTTCCCATAAAAGTCTGCAAACTAACCAAACCCATTGTGATCAAGTCCATTCTGACTCACAGCAATCCTACTGGACAGAATAGAAGTACCCCACAGGGTTTGTAAGGCTATTAGAAATCCATGGAAGCAAACTGCTACACCTTTCTCTGTTGCAGTGGCTGGTGTGTTGGAACTGCAGTCCTTTTGGTTAACAATCAAATGCTTACCAGTGAGCCATAAGGGTTCTTACGGTCCACTACAGACACTCAGGGCTGACTCTTTCCTACTCATTAACTAGTGCGCCTCACATCTTCCTTTAAAGAAAAAGAACCTTGTATGACCCCTAATAATAAAATGATTAAAAATGAAAACAAAAAAATGTGTATGACACAATGGATGTATGTATGAGTGCTGATAAGAGTTGTATAAGGCCCCGATAAAATAATTTCAAAAAGAAAACGAACCACATAATATGGAGGGCTTAATAGGACATGTAAATACATACAATGTGTTTCTTTAAAAATCAAACCCAAAATTAAAACAACAACAAAAACCTTTTAGAGTCCTTATCCTTCAAACCTAAAAAGTGGTCTGAGTGGTTAAAAAAAAATTTTTTTTAGGAAGGAAAAGCAAAACTGAAATGGATTTGATATCTTTAGTGACAAACAAGTTCATTTCAAAGAAACAAAAGACTGCTTATAAAGAGAGGTGGATTTAAACATGACAAGTTCTGCTTAAAATGCTATCATTGTTGAGAGGGCTGTTTCTAATTATTCTCTGGACCTGAGTCATGTACTATTGTTCGTTGCTGTTGTTGGTTCCAATGCATTGTGACCTCATGTGTGCAGAGTGCAACTGCTCCACAGAATTTTAACACTTTCAACCTTGAATGGCTAGTAGCTAAGTGCGTACTGTTTGGGCCACCTAGAGATTCTAGTCACATAAGAGTTGTACTCAAAATATACTATCATAATCTTATAAATGTACTAGTATAGTATATGTATGCACAGACACGTGTATACAGATATTCTAATAAAAATTCACTATTATGCAAATGAAAACTCTAAGACTGAATCAACTGCACTAAAAGTTTGTACAAATAGGATTCCAAAACAAAAGTGAAGCTAAAATCAAATTAAGTGCCAATTAAATCCATACCTAACAGGCCAGTGTCTACACCATCTTCATTCTTCTGATTCTCAGCATGCAACTCTGTAAGTACAAAGAGGGACTCATGGAGAAAGTGAGATTATGTAATACTCTAAAGAGTAATTAAAAGCTAGGGTGACATTGCAGAGTTCCACGAAGTGCTCTGGAGTCAAAGTGGGTTGAAATTCTGATTGTACTTACTAGCTATATGACCTTTAGCAAGCAAATAAGACTTACAGGCATCAACTGCCTTATAAGAGAAAAAGCTGTTTAATCCATAGGTTGTTGTGAAGACATTTTGTGTAATAGGAATTGCAGAGCACAGTAGACCTTAGTTTAATTCCTTCTCCTACTCTTTAAGCACTGCACAGACTTCTGCAATGTACTTCCATTATATTATGACTTTAAGATACAAAGTTAATGTTGCAGAGCAAAAGAATATACCTAGGCAGTTAAAACACTCTCAGTTGTGAAAAAGAGGAATGAGAAATGAAAGAATTAAACATCAGCAATTTACATCCAATACCATTTCCAAACCCACCACCACCGAGTCTATTCATATTCATAGCGACCCTATATAAAGGGTTTATAAGGCTTTGTAAACTTTTTGTCAAGTTCTTTCTGTTGATGCTCAGCTGGTGGATTTGAACCACTGACCTTACAGTTATCAGCCCAAAGTTTACATGACAGTGCCACCAGGGCTTAATATCTTTTCATAGAGGAGGCAAAATGCATACTGTCTGTCTATCTTTTTACAATCAAGCACTATAAGCTAAGGTTTCATCTGCTGCCCATTAAAGGCCGGAAAGGAATGTGAAGAAGCTATTTAGTAAAGTGAAGGTTGCACCTGGCTGCTAATACTTTTCCGAGAAAGATGTAAGATGTAGCAGTCAGCTTCTGTAAAGATTACAGCCTTGAAAACTCCACGGGCCAGTTCTACAGCTTTGTCCTGCAGGGATTAAGTGTGGGAAAGGAATCAACTAATGTCAATGAGTTTGGTTTAGTGAGGTTGAAAAGAGTATTTTAGTGATGTGTTGGGTATTTCCTATACCTACGTCAGAAAACACCCAACACACACTTCACTAAAATATGTACAGTAGTTCTTTTCTTCCCCCTTTAATAAGCAATGTATACATCTACCTAAGCCTCTGCAAAACCTTCCAAGGCACACCCATTTTTAATCTGGTTAAAAAATACCCTATGGCCATGCAGTAAAACTTTACTTACTGTACACCAAATTACAAGCCTAACATAAAAACGGAGACAAATGATTGTATCTATCCAAGAACAAACTTGGGCTGTGGGACAGAACTCTGACTCTAGAATTGAGTGCAGTCAATGAATTATCAGCCTTTTCAACATGTAGGGCCCATTTTAATTTTACCCACTTTTCACCGCCGCCACCTAAGGTAGCTGAGCATTTCATTAAATTTTGTCAATTTTTCACCAACTGGTCTGACTTTAAGATGCTATCTAACTAGTAAATCAGTTCTTCCTAGAAAGGCTCCTCAGATCAGGGCGTCTCCTACCTTGCAGAGAGCAGACAAAGGGGGGGTGGGGGGGTGGGAGAGCTATGAAAGGTGCAAACGACTCAAGAGCCAAGAACCCGCTAGCTGGTTAATCAGAGGAGTGCTCAAGAGACCAGGTCAACGCAACCAGGCTCATCCTCTACTCTGATCTGGGCGTTCTGGCCGAAGCCCCAACTTCTACCCTGGACACTTCCAACGGCCGGGCTTGAGTACCTTTTACAATCAGGTAGGCGATGGCGAGGAGGAAGGCGAGAAGGGCCGCGAACAGCAGCGAACAGAGCACAGTGAGGACCTGGACCGGCCACCGCCGAGCAGTGGCTCGGCCGCCCACAGTCGCCGGGAAGATGCCATTGCGCTTGTCGGGCAGGACCGGCGACCCATCGCCGTCCGGCGGGAGCCGAGAACCCTTTCGGGGCTCCGACAACGCCCCAGCCGAAAACTCAGCCCGTAGGTCGCGGGCCACCTGGTCGCATCCCTCTTCCTCATCGACCTCGCCTTCACCCCAACTGTCTCCCTGAGAAAGGGCGGAATACATGGGTCGAGTGAGTAGGGCCGGCGTCCCGAGACGACGGCGCAGCACGGCCGAGCGGTCCCCGCTCGCCACAAACGACATGGCGGGAAAGACGCCGAGGCCCGCGCAGGCGGAGAGGCTCCCACCCTCCCGAGCCCCAGCAGCCAATCAGCGCACGAGGCTCGTCCACCCGGCGCCGACGCGCAGGGGTGCGTTAACAGTCCACAGTGGGCGGAAAACAAATCGGGAGGCCCCCTCCAGGAGTCGGGCCCCCAAAGAAGTGGTGCACCTCTGGACCTGGGCCCGGTCCCGGGGCCCATAGTTTGTGGGAACAGAAAGGAAACGCGCTGGAAGACGCGAACCGAGACACATCCTAGCCTGGTGCCTGCCCCAGCAGCGCTTCGTCCTGGCCAGAGAAGGCCGCCACCGCGTCACCGCTAGGCAGCCTCCATGTCGCATGTGCCCGGTGCCCGGTCCTAGCGCCCGCCTATCCTGCTCAAACAGACACCCCCTGCCCCCAATGTTTTCCTCCTTTCAACTACTGGTAGCGCACCACCGAGTGCTCCCGTCTTGCCTTAACTGCCCACACCTGGTTTCCTTTCGCATCTCTTCTTCCCGCCTGTCATTAATTCCCTCCACGCTACTAGGTACGCCTCTCTGCCCCCGCGAGTGCCCTCCAGCCTCGAACCGAATGCCTCCAAACCCCCACCTCCGGCCTCGAGCGCTGTGCGCCCGCCTTCGGGCCCCAAACGCCCTAACGCTAGAAGCTGCCGGCTTCAAACCCCACCTCTCCCTAGCCCTGGCGGCCTCAGGTTTGTGGGGCCGAGTAACGGCTGAGTTAACAGGGCCCAGCTGCCTCACCCGCTTACGGGGGCAGTGAAAGCTCTGAATGCTGTGACAGCGGTGTCTTATGATCCCCGGGGCAAGTTGGTGGAGTTTTCCCCCGCAGAAAACTAGGCACAGAAACTTCCTCCAGCCCCGCCCCTCCCGCCCTCCAAGCTGGCGACGCCGAGTGAGCTTGGGGGCGAATCGCCGCAAAGCTGCGTGCCGGCGGCACAATCTGATTGGGCTGCGAGCAAGCCTGTCAGTTTATTGGCCCCGCTAATCCCGCCCCAAAACGCGGCGCAGCCTTTAACCTTTAGCCCGGGCGGACGCCAGCCACTCAGATCGCTGCTTGTTGGTATATGCTGCGGCAGTGGCCGCCGGCGGAGCAGTCTGAGCCCGACGATGAGGCCGGGGACAGGAGCCGAGCGTGGAGGCCTCATGGTGAGTGAAATGGAGAACCAACCTCCGTTGCGGGGTACCGGGAACGGGGAGCGGAGATTGCCCGACTCAAGCCTCTGCTCCAGCTCTTGGGTCTCTGCTGACGGCTTCCTGAGGAGACGGCCTTCGGTAAGGGATCGGTCGGGTAGGGAGAAAGCGGCACAATGAAAAACGGCATCAGAGAGACAGGAAGCTTTCTCCCAGAGGAGAAGAAGATAAGAGTGAACGAAAGAAGAGCTCGAGATGGTGGGATATGTGGCGAAGGAGAGAAATGGAGTGTGGGGACACCCAAAAGGGGGGTTTGGAGACCCTGAAGTTCCTGGTGGGCTTGGCCTAGGCAGAGGCGGGGTGGAGATGCTGGGCCTTGGGCGGGGTGAGCGCCTAGGAGAGGTAGGCCCGACGGAGCGGGAAGGGGGAGGCGGAAACTTGGTTTTGTGGACTTTTACCAGAAGCTGCCAAATTTTGTTCTCACTAGTAGAGGTGGTGCCTGCCGTGGGAGAATTGGCAGGGGATAATTGACTGGTTTTCAAGGCCTTGAACAATAGACACAGGTGGAGAAAGTAGTCTTTTTAAGCGGCAATGAGGCAGTGGGCGAATTAACGCATTGCTTGCCAGAGTGTGACTCGGTTGAGTGAAACCCTGTAGGTTTCCCAGGCTGGAAATCTTTACGGAAGCCAGGTCTTGCGGTGGGACCGAACCGCTGACTGTGTGGTTAGTGAACCTTCCGTGGACTAATTGGTTCCGTTTAGTATCTATGAGTGACGCCACAGCAGACTTAGAATTTATTTTCCTCTCAGGTATTTTACCTATCTTAAAGGTTATGTTAGAAAAAAGTTTGTTAGCAGTGAAGTGCCCCTGGGTGGCACATACAGTTCGTGTTTTCCAAGACCAGCCCTAATCCGAATTCATTTGATCAATTTAGCGTTTTAAAGTTCAGTCGATTTAGAAAATAGTTTAAGAATAAAATAAGCATTGTAAAAAAGCGATAGGATCTTTTGTATTTGTGAAATAGGACAAAGTTGTGGTTTTTCACCATAAGGTTTTAAACTGATCCCTACAAAGATTTCCTCCAAATTTAGTAAGCCAGTTAATAACATTAAATAACTAGTGTGTTTTTTTTATTTAGGACAAGAAGATATAAACCTCATAATTTAAATCACACATGACTAGTATACCAATGCAAGTAACCTGTGTGCTGAGATTTTCAGATGTTCTCACAATACTTTCTAATTTTTAATTTTCACTTTTTTTCAGATGGGACACCCTGGCATGCATTATGCTCCCATGGGAATGCACCCTATGGGTCAGAGAGCCAATATGCCACCGGTACCTCATGGAATGATGCCGCAAATGATGCCCCCTATGGGAGGGCCACCAATGGGACAAGTAAGAATGTGCTTGTATTTTTGCTTTGCTTGGTTTTTGGTAACTATTGTCTCCTGCTCTTGTGCCATGATTTTGAAATCTGGGTAAATACTTGCAGCCATTTACGATTAGTTTATATGAAAATAACGCTTTCGAATATAGCATATGTTGAATTATGCCTGAGACCAACCGTTTGGATGGATTGGAAAAGTCTTCTGTGTGAAAAACTTATTTTCTGCCTCAACAAAACAGTTTATTAATTTAAAAGTTAACAAGATACAACTAGGCTTATATTTTAATTACTTTTTTTAACCATGTTGGTGCAATGGGTTATGCGTTGGGCTGCTAGCCTAGAGGTGGGTGCTTTGAATTTATTAGCCACTCTGCTGCTCCATAGCCTCAGAAACCCTATGGAGCAGTTTTACTCTGTCTATAGGGTCTCTCTGGGTCAGAATTAACTAAATGGCAGTGGGTTTGGGTTTATGCCAATTAAAGTGAATGTTTTACAAATAAAAATTTGATTTGTCAACATAAGTTGGGGGGCCATAGATGATAAATGCATGGCATTTGAAAAGGTGTTATTGTTTAAGTGATTCTGAGATTAACTGAGAATGGATTCGATGTGTTATTCTTGAAATACATTCTTCTGTGTGTATGATGGAGGTGGGCTGGTGAAGTATCTACTCCACAATTCTAGTTACTCATAAGCTAGTAGCAACTAGCTAGTTGATTTTCCATTTGTACCATGTTTAAACAAAATGCGTATTGGCTTCTTTCTGCACTCCTGTTTCTGAGGCTTCCCTTCCGAAATCTTTAGCATAAATTGTAAAGAGCTATTTTGTGGGAGTGACTTATATCAGAAAGTTTTGTTACTGACTGTGGGATGGAACTAAGTTACAAGGGAAGCAGTCAAGAAAGATAACAGGTTTAGTTACTATAATTTTATGCCTTCTGTGTAAGTCCTTAAAGTAGTTTGATTATTTGCATTTGAATATTTTGATAATGATCATTTGGTAGCTAATACTGTTTTCTCTGATTATTGTTTAAGTAGTGACGGTTAATGGTATAAGTACAGATGAAAAGAGTTTGCTGTGTTGTCTCTTCTTTTTCTTAGCATTAGAAGAGCTTATTGTCAAGTGGTTTTTCTTTTTATTTGGATTGTAGCCCTGGTAGCACAGTGGGCTAAGCATTTTGGGCTGCTAACAAGGTCAGTGGTTCAGATCCACCAATGGCATCACATGAGAAAGATGAGGCTCTGTGCTCCCTTAAAGATTTATAGCCTGAGAAATCCTTTGGATCAGTTCTACTCTGTCCTTTAGTGTCACGAGTCAGAATCAACTTGTTGCATTGAGTTTTGGATTTGCGTTTTGGAGCCCTTCATATTGTATAAAAATATTTAAAGGTATAGGCCCAGTAAATTATGTTCTCAGGAATTCTTTAAATAAAAATATCTGTTTATTCTGTGACTGTAAAATAACAAGTTTTAAAATTCCCTAGATGGTGGAGAAACAACTCTGGTTCTTCTCATTTCTTTCCATCTCTAAGCAAAGGAGCTCTTGTTTCTTGGTAGAGCTACTCTAACTAGATAATGAGCTTTAAAAATATTTATTCTTTAAATGCTCTGGTTCTTATTTAAAATTAGTTTCTTTCCACAGAAAGATAAAATAAAACAATTTGCTACTGCCAGATGCTTCTCTCTTTTCTGGGGCCTTCTGTTTCCATTGGGCCAATCAAGGTAAGTTTTGCAAGGGATTAACCTGCTTACCCTTGCTGTAATGGTGCTATTGCACTACCAAAACCAAGATACCAGCTAGTCATTTCTAATAAATTGCAAGAGTTTTCTTTTTAAAAGTACTTTTCTGTATTTCATAGCTGGTCACACTTGCCTTAAGCCCCCTTCTCATTTCAGTGACCATCGTGCTAATAAGCTTACTTGTGGCTTGGTGTACATCTATTCAGATATCAAGAACTTTGTTGTGGTTTTCCACTCTTCCTATCGCCAATATAAATCCTGTGCTTATAAGTTAACCTATTAAAATAGTTAGACCTATTTTCTCATATTGGCTCTTATTAAGAAACTGAATGTCACAGGAGTCTAGCTTTGAGGTCTAAGACAATAGCCATTATTTGTCTTGAAGTTAAATTATGACCTTTCTCCCCTTAATATCTAACTAGCAAATGTGGGACCCTGGCCATGGTAAAGATTATTCTTATTTTAGGTTTTGTAACAAAACAGAATATGGATTAATGTGCAAACCATCCCCTCAAAAAAAAAGATGATCATAGATCACAAAATTGATTTTTTTACCCATTTTTTTGTTATCCCTCAGAATTATTAATGAACAGTAAGTACTCAGATTATAATCAAGAAAAATGTAGCCTGTGTAAGCTACAGCAGCAATTGCAAAGTTGATAGGGTTCTGCCATCAGTTTAAAGCCACTTAATTCATGAGTTTGTCTTTAGCATTGGGAGT